AAAGCCTCATCTTTCTTCTAAGAAGGAACTGGTGGTTTCAAACAGTTAACCTTGCGGTTAACAGACCACCCTGCAATGCCTATACCCTAGGGCTCTTGGCAATAATGTTGATAGGCCCCATTTTGTGGTTGACAAAGTTAAGAACAAACACTGAGGTTCCCTAGAGAAAAATAATGACTGTCTCAATATTTCACTGGTGACTCCTCCTGCCTTAGTTTTGAGTCTGCTATTCAGCTCTACATAATCATGTGAGTTAATTTCTAAATATTTAATATTGATTCTGTTTCTCAGGAGATATTTGAGTGGTGATGATGCAGGTACTAACAGTGCTTCCAAAGAAATGGAATAAGGATGCCTTCTGAATTTGTTCTGGGACTTTCTGCTTCTTCTTCCTTTATTGTATTTTAAACACTCTGACTAGATGTAAAGGCACTAATGGCTCGATATCCAGGAAAAGGATGTATGTCCATAGAATAATATAACAGTAACCACCCTCCTCCAAACAAAAGACACATTCATAGCGATCCAGCATATGAAATATCATTGTACATTCCTATCTAAATATATGCAAATGAAAAATTTTTGTATTATCATATATTTGATATCTAGGATAGCTAGGAATATTTTTCTTTATCTAGAGAAATTTGCAATGAGGTTGTCTGGTTCCTCCTAAGTGTAATGAGGAATTGTCATCATTGTACATTCCTATCTAAATATATACAAATGAAAAAAAATTGTATTATCATATATTTGATATCTAGGATAGCTAGGAATATTTTTCTTTATCTAGAGAAATTTATGATGAAGTTGGTTACTCCTAAGTATAATGAGGAATTGTCAAAGAAAGAATATACCAAGAGCTTCATATACTCACCTCACTGCCCCATTGACATCACTGTGTCCATTGTGACTCACAGCTACTCTATCAAGGGTTTCTGAGTTTAAAAAGGAGAGCCTTCAAAAATGAAATGGAACACCTGGGCATTGGTGAGCTGAAATGGTTATTGGTCATTTTGAGTTGAGTCATTATATTCTACTATGCCTGGAAAAAAAACAATGAAGAGGTGTGGTTGTGAACTGGGTGCCAATTTTTTAACCATTACTAGAATGGCAGCCAATCACTGCCTTTTTATTTACATGTGTATATACTTTAATGAGGACTCCTTGTAATATATCTTCCTCAGAAAACTGCATTTAATATCTACTGGGTCTTGTGATCCCCAAATTGTGAAGTGTGTTATTTTTTCTTCAATAAAACTCTGTGCTTTAATTTTAAATAGACCTGAGTTTGATGTTTCATATGAGAAAATTTGCTCAATGTGTTACAAGACCATAGTGCTGTTGTTAGGGACCATCAAGTCGGTTCTGACTCAGACTGACACTCTATACAACAGAACAAAACCTTGCATAGTCCATAAAATACAAGTAAACATCTTTCTAGTGTTCTCTGATTTCAGCCAGGATGCATCTGATGTCAACAATGATAATATCCTTTGTTCTATGTCTTCTTCTGAATTTGATCTGACCTCTGGCAACTACCTGCCCATGTACTATTGCAGCCATTGTTGGATGATCTACAGAAAAACTATACTTGCGTGTGACATCAATGATAATGTTCTAAAATCTGTGCTTTTATTTGGACCACCTTTCTTTGGGATGGGTACGGATCTCCTATAATCAGTCAGCTAGGCAGCTGTCATCCAAATTTCTCGACATAGATGAGGGAGAGGCTCATCAAGTGCTCTGCAGCTTCTTGAATCATTTAACTGGGAGTCAGTCCATTGATTCCTGGAGCATTCCTTTGGCTAATGCCTCAGTGCAGCTTGGACTTCTTTTAGTGTGATTGGTTCTTGATCATATGCTACTTCCTGCAAGTTTGGATATCAAAGAGTTCCTTTGGTACAGTGCCTCACTATATTATTTTCATGTTATTATTTTTTACTGTCTCTATATATTTACTTATACTGGATTTCATATACAGAAGAATATACAAAAAGAAAAAAAAACAGAGAAAAACCTCAGCAGAAAATATTAAAAAGTAAAAAAAAATTGAAATGAGTCAAAAGGAAGACCAGATGTTAACCTAAATGCATCTGCAGTAATGTATTTTATGCAGTTTGTTCTGCATAATTGCAAGGCTATTCACATTCCTGGTTTATGGACAGAGAGAATTCACTGGAGGCTAAGCCCATGTATATTTCTCTTCATTTAAAAAAAAGTTGAAACAGCTTTAAAATTAATCAAAGAGGAAATCAAATGACAACATATTACAATTAATCCCACTACATCTGTCAGAATTGACTTTACAATGCTCTCTGTCAGATACTGAGGCTAGTCACATCCCTCCCTTAAAGTCAGAAGGGGATTCACAGGAGGCACAGTGTGCATGTGGACCCTGAAGATGGATTTTAGGCTTCCACTGTCACCCATAGCTTTCTGCAAACATGGGTCCACAATTTAAACTTGATATCCTTCCCTCCTTCGGGTGTGGATTTTGTTATTTATAATCTTTGGATCACACAGCTTGCTGTGCTTCTTCCATGTGAATTTAGTTGCCACCTCACTTAGATGACTGCTTGTTTTAAGACAAATCTTTACGACCACAGACACTATTCTTTCTGATACCTGGGCATCATCTAATTTCTCCACTACACTTGCTAAGGCTCCTGTATCTTCAATAATCTCTGCATGAGGGCAAGCAACAAGCAGGACCACGTCATAATAACAAATTGTCCTTATATTGGGGTTAGAACCAAGCACACACTCAAAATCTAATCATATGTCTATGTTTTATATATACATGATTCATTTTGGAGTTATTATTATCATTTTATGTTAGAGAACATTAGCAGTCATCCTTCTGGGGCACAAGATAATTCTATTGAGTGCATCATCATTTTCTATATTTCTTGCACCATTTTATATTTGCCCAATAATGCATTTGATCTGAGTTTTCTCTTAAGATCTTACTATTAAAATATATATCAGGGTACTATTCTTCTTTCATTTTCCAACTCCAGGTCTTTGCACATTTCATTATAACACTTTACATTTTCTTCTGAGCTGCCATTTGACATTTTCTGCTCAGCTCTTTGGTTTCTTCACTTCTCCATTTGCCTTGGTTACTCTGAGATGAAGAACAAGTGTCAGAGTATCCTCTGACACCCCTTTTGATCTTTTCTTTCTTTTCTGCCTTTCTAATGATCTCTGGCTTTCTTTATATATGATGTTTTTGATGCTACCCCATAACTTATCAGATCTCCTATCATTAGAGTTCACTGCGTCCAGTTTGTTCTAGAGATCTTCTCGGAGTTCAAGTGGGATTTATGCAAAGTCATATCTTGTTTCTCCTGCACTTGTTTTCATTTTCTTCCGCTTCAACCTGAACTTCAATATGAGAAGTTGAGGATTCCACAGCTGGCCCTGGCCTCATTTTAGCTGCTAACAGTGAGCTTCTCCATAGTCTCTTCCCACAGATGCTGCCAATGTGACCTCAGTGCAGGCATCTGGAGAAGTCCACGAGTTCTGTCACCTTCTGTGCTCTTGAAAAAAAAGGTATTGCAATTAAGGAATCATTTGGTCTTGCACATTTCTATCATGTGACCTCTAGTTTCAATTGTATCATCAGTACCACATTTTCCAACTACTATTCCTTCCTCTTGTTTCAAATTTTTGCTTTCCAATGGCAAATAATTATCAATGTATCCTAATCGCATATTTGATGAATCTCATTGTTAAGATATTAAAAAGTCTTTAATTTCTTTGTCACAGATTTAGTGGTTGGTGCAAAACTATGAAAAATATGTTGATGGGATTTCCGTGTATCTGGATAGATATTACCCTATCACAGAAAGCATTGCACTTCAATATAGATCAGAAGTGTCCTCTTAGAAGATGCATGACCTGTCATGCCTCTTGAATTTATCATTTTCAGCATAGTGAACACTATGATTTTCTGATTCAAAATGGCCAATACCAGTTCATTTCAGTTCACTAATGCCTAGTACCTCAACCTTTATGTATTACATTTCATTTTTTATGTCTTCCGACTTTCCTAGATTCATACTTTTTACATGCCAAGTTCTGATTACTAAAAATTATAACAGCACTATCTTCTCCTTTTAAGTCATGCTCCATCAGCACATGACGGTTCTGAAGGCTTTACTCCGTAGGACTTTACTCCAGCCACATCATTACGATGGACTGTCCTTGGAGAAGGCTGCTCTTTCTCCATAAAAATTTGAGTGCGTTCTAACCTGAGGGACTCATCTTCTGACACCGTCGCTGACAACATTCTACTGCTGTTTATGAGGTTTTCAATATCTGACTTCCCCTCTCCCAGCCCCCTCCATCCACAAGGTTTTCAGTGGTGAGTTCCTCTGAAATGGACAGTCTCTAAGTTTTCACATGGGCTGACTCAGCTGCTATTTGAAATACCAGTGACATAGCTTCCAGCATCACAGCAACACACAAACCATCACAGTACAAAAAACTGACAGTCACATGAGGTACAAAGCACATTAAAGACTCCCAATCGACAAACGAAGAATTATCAAAACCAGATTATTAATAATGCTGAAGTTGAGGATTGTGACTTAGGGAGAAATGAATGGAAATGTTGAAAAACATAGCTTGGTATGTCCCCTCAAGAAAGTGTGTAAGGAATGCCGAATTTCTATTCCTTTTTGAGATCTATGCTGATTAGTCAAAGCAACACTAATATGCAGATTTTTAGTGTACACAATTCATGTGAAATATTTTTGTTTGTCTTTATTTGGCAACTGATGTGAAGAACTTTTGACTTCTGGTTCAGATGAACAAAAAAAACAAAAACATGTTAGGTCTTATTTTGCTTATTATACTTGGAGAAAGAATTTTAAAACATCACAAACTAAAAACATCAAAATGAAGTTTTACTAAAGCAGCTTAGTAATTGTTTCAATGAAAGAATATCCATTCAATACAATTTTTGTTCTGATGAAAGAGAAACGCCTACTCACTTGCCATTTAATGCCGCTACCCCAACTGTGCTTCGAGCAATTGACATACTGGCTACAAATGTCCACTGTTGACCTTGAGGATCCCACCTCTCCACGGTGTTCAGATAGCTCCAGCCATCGTGGCCTCCCACTGCATAAATAGGGCCTTCCAGGACTGTGACACCTAAAACATTGAAGACACGTGAATTGAGTGGGCTTATTTCATAATGAAATACGTATGCAGTAGAAATGCAGGTGCCTTCACTACAGGCCTTTTCTGTGAAGAAATTAATGCATCGAGAAAGAAATTAGGTACTAGTAACGGAATGATTTCATTAAAAATGAAATAAAATTAAGAATAAAAAATAAGTTGCATAACCTAGTTCATAAAAGAAAACTAATTTCCTTATTTCCTCAAATACATATGATCCTATTATCCTGTGTCACCCCAGACAAAGCAGTGTGAACCATTGCCCTGCTCTATGCCATCTTCCTGTGTTTGACCTCACTGTTGCAGCAACTTTTTCAATCCATAGATTTAAGAGTATTCTTCTTTTTCACCAACTTCCTACTTTACAAACCAGAAGTCCTTCTCCAGGACTGATTCCTCCCAATAACCTGCTCAAAGCATTTGAGACCAAGTCCCATCCTTCGCACGGCGGAGGAGTCTTGTTCTCTGGCAGTCCATGACTCATTTAGTTCTTCCCAGCAATTCTAGTGCATCGCTTCTCTGTTCTTCCTTATCCACATACTATCCAGCTCTCACATGCACAGGAGGCACTGGAAATACTGCAGTTTCAGGTCAGGCACACCTGACTTACTCATTCAAATAGGCGAATGCTGAAGCCAACACATGACACATATTGGGCCTTTGTTTTGAAAATATTTATACATTGCTGTTTCAAGGACTTTATGACAAAATTTTAAGCAACATAATGCTATCCATTTAAATATAAAGATAGTATTCTCTCTGTTTTTGGTTTCCCACATAATTTCATGATAATAGTTTTTCTAAATATTCTTGTTTAGGAAATAGACACTGTCACTATTATTTTTTATTGAAATCACTAAACACAAGCAAGTAAAGCAAATAAAATGACCTGTGAGTAGTCAGTTAACGAATTTATACAATGCATATGCACTGCTTTTCCAGTAAATTCCCTTTCCCCTAAATTGAATTGTTTCAATGTTAAAGAGTTGAAACCTATTTAAATGCATGGATAAATCAAAGCTTTTATCTGGACAAATTATCTGATGACTTTTCTTCTAAAACATTCAAAATTGGATTAGCATTTTACTCTACTTCCAAGCTGACTAGTTAGCCTGACAAAGGGAATTCCTACTGGTAGAATCACAATGATTCCATGTGTGAGAGTGACATTGAATGGACTACCATCATTTCCCTGGGTCCCTAAGTCCCACTTCCCCAGATGACACCGAGAGGGTCATTTGAGTCCTGTGTACTCAGTGTGTTGTAATACAAGAAAAAAATCTGCTTTCTAATGGACAGTGACCATTAAGTCCCGAGAGAGATATAATTTTTATACTTCTAAGTATGCCTTTCACTTGGGTAGAGATATCATCTTTAGTTTCCTGTTGTTGTTATTAGGTGCCTTCAAGCTGGTTCTCACCCATAGCAACCTTATGTGTATCAGAACAAAGCACTGCTTGGTCCTATCCCGTTCTCATTATTGTTCCTATTCTTCACCTGTTGTTGCAACCAGTGTCATCTATGTCCTTGAGGGTCTTGCTCTTTTTGCCACTGCCCCTGTCCTTCATCAAACATGGACTTTCTCCAGGGACTGGTCTTTCTTACAACATGTCAACAATTTGTCAGAGAAAGCCCCGCCATCCTTGCCTCTAAAGAACACTTTCACGATGCTTCTTCGGAGACAGGTGGGATTGCCTTTTATTGGTTCCTGGTACTGTCAATATTCTTCTCCAGCAACACAATTCTCAACTGTGCCAATTCTTCTTGAGTCTACCTGATTCAGTGTGCAACTTTCACATGCATATTCAGATGAGACAATTGTAAATAGCATAGCTTGAGTTTATTTTACTAAGCTGTTAAACTTTCCTTTTTAAGACAGTCTAGAGCATTAATCAGGTGGGCCTTCTTCCCAAGCCATGTAGAATCATGTCAAACTAATTGAGAATATCTCCCAACAGTGATGTGAAAGTAAAATACTTCATCCATTTATTCAATGCATGCTCATGAAATTTTTATTAGGTGTCAAGAATCGTTCTTCTCACCAAGAACACAGTTTTGATCTAAGGTCTTGTCCTCAAGGAGCTCATTTATATTA